TATTTATTTAAATTAATATTTATTTTATTATATGTAATGAAAATGTTTTTTAGTTTAGTTTTTTGTAGTTTCAGTTATAATATCAACCCTGTCCCAAATCTGTCTAATTTTGAACTGGTTTAAATTCAGCAAGAATATTAGATGTTAATCTAAAATTAGGTTTGATTTATAAAACAACGATGAAGCAGGTAAAACTAGTTAAACTGAAAATATTAAAGAAACAGATAAATCATAGATAATTGAATAGAACTTTAAGAAAGAAATATATTGTCCTTAAAAGTTACTTGATATCGGAATTTAAAATAGGGAGACCACATGAGACCTTAACATGGGTGGAAACTGAACTAGAAAAATACACAAAAATATTAAAACCATAATCACGCAATATTAGTATTACTGATGCACATTCAAACAATCATATACATAGAACTGAATAATTATAGAATAAATCATCAATCAACACACATGACTGTTTCCCATCCCTGTAACCCAATCACAGACAGTTAATAGCGTCGCAATCATATCCCCCCCGAAAAAACTGAGCAAATATAACATAACGGCTCTTACCGAGTGACATTGGCAGCCCGAGTCCTTTGGGATGCAGCGGGTTTTGTTGTATTTATCACAGTCTGTGCACAATAGCACAGAAATCAGTAACAGTCTATAGTTCTGCAGACTAACAAGGAATCAAAGCTATGAAAAGATTTTGAATGTAGCTGAGCAAATAGGATTAAAGATGGCTAATTCCAAGAGGCTGGAGCACAGCATGCATTAAAGAGGAATTCTCTGGGGAAAGATAATCCCCATATGCGTTTTAACACACTTCACTGTCCCCTGCCCACCCCGTTCCCTCCCCTTCCTTACGGACAGTATCATAATCAGACACGCTTGGGCTGATACACTCAATCTCGAGTTGAACTGAGCGGTCAAAGCAGGAGAACAAATCCATGATATGCTAATGCCAGCGTAGCCAAACCATGAAAAGTCATGGAGAACGAAACCACGAAACCAGCTATGACATGGTCAACTGAGGCGTTCCAGTGAAATCCTGTCCAATTCTTTGATTTCATATGTTGTTACATTCCAGAGCGTGTCCGCATTCAGTGAGAGTATGTGCTGCGCTCTTGGAGTTGCCACAAGGGGCGCTATAACGGACATTAGCCGGAACAATCTTTTGCCATGCTTCGTTCTCTTTCAGGACTACTGTCACCGCAAAGCAATGGTTTAAAGACAATCTTGCCAGTGTTGCCAACTTAGATTAGTGACGTTTTCTTCCAAAAAAGCGACTAGCGACGAATCTATAGCTTCTGCTGGTTAACGTAGTCAGTCACTATATCATAGGCTGCGTCCGAAATCGCGTACTATGCGAGTAGGTACTATATTTAAATAAGAACGTACTTTGCGACCGTTAAAAAAGTACGTTTTATATAGTATGAATACGGGTAGTATGAATGAGTCCGGACGCACTACATGCGCCATGTTGCGCTGTTTTTAACTCTGCTTTCTGTTTTCATCTGCGTTTTTACGTCGCCCGAGCCGACAATCAAGAGGAGGCGTCGGTCAGCAGCTCGCAGATCACGCCTTTTGCAGAATTTCTCAAATAACGTTTATTTACCTAATAAATTTTACCTCATAAAAGACACACACAACCCCTATGAACAATGACAGATGTTGATTTTTGGCAAGGAAAAAGCCATTTATTTGCTTGTGATATTACCATCGATAAATAAACATGAATTAATCAGTAGAGATCCGCATGTGTTTATCTTCTAACGTTACAGCCACGTCTCTCGTACAAGCACGTTTCCACCATTTTCAAATATAACGACAACAACTCCTCTCCCGTGGCATCATGGGATAGAAAAGTGTCCATCGTATGCGCACTTCATAATCTCGCCGGATGTAGTAGGTCAACTGAGTACTTTTCACCTATTGTTTTTCGAATTCTATGATTTCGTACATACTCTGCTCGCGTACCGATTTTCGCATACTATATAGTAGGGAAGTATTTGATTTCACATGCAGCCATAGACTTTCCACTGTCTGACTGAAAATGTCAATTAAAACAGCTTTAAATGGACATTCGGCTATATATTTGAGAATGGATTAGGAGAGACAACAGTGCCGACAGTTGGCGCATTACGTCACCTAGCGACATTTAGAGACTTTTTGAGTAGGTTTTAGCTAGCCTGACTTTGCCATACTCATATTCTAGTCAGAATGTGAGTCTGATACTGCTCCATAGGGCTTTGATTATGAGGCGTGTCTTAACCGAAACGGGAACAAAAAAAAAACTCTGCATTCAATTGGATAGAGATAGACCTACAACCAATCAGAGCAACGCAGTAAGTGACGTATGTTGAGCGACGCATAGTCGTCAACAAACTCAACTGCAGGCATGCTGGAAGAAGTAGTAAAGTAATGAGTGTTGCTTCTTGTACTTGGTCCTCCATGAGTGCGACCAAAGGAGAAACCACAACGACCACAGGGTTTTCATTGCGTCCCATCTTATTAGCAAACTTTTGCAGAATCCCGTGGGAAGGACGGCAAACACATCTTTCCGATCGACAAATGTCTTGATTGCAGTTCTCTGTTCATCTTTTAAAATGAATTCACTGTCGATTTCTTTTACAACAGACGCGATAGCAGAATCTATGCATCTCAGTTCTCCAGCTGCAGTCATCTCTGAGGAAAACCAGTTCAACCCAAGCGCTCTTTGACAGAGTTGTAGTACTTGAGACTCGGACTCGTCTCGGACTCGGTCTCGAGACCATATTTTAATGGTCTTGGTCTTGTCATGGACTCGTGTCCATTTGGACTCGGAATTGACTCGTACTCGAACATTTTTTTTTTTTTGGACTCGGAATTATTCCCGAGTCCACTCGAGTTCAATTAAAAATATTTTTCATGATTATTAATGTATGTTAATAAAATATTTCTTTAAATTGATTGACACGCCCAGTGATTGGTGATTTTCTAGTGCGCAACTGCGCATGACAAATTGGAATAAAATTACTTTTAACACCACCTACTATGTGGCCTTTTTACCCTAAACTGATCATATTTTTTAAACTCTAAGTAAATTCATTTAAAAAAAAAAGGATTTCTCTAAGTAAATTAAAGTAAATTAGGTAATCAACCCTCACTGGTCTCGGTCTCGACTCGGACTCGACCGTCTCTGGTCTCGGACTCGACTCGGACTCGACTCTCTATGGACTCGGTCTTGACTTGGACTCGACTCTCTCTGGTCTCGGTGTCGACTCGGACTCGAGTGAGGTGGTCTCGACTACAACACTGCTCTTTGATGACGTGACGATTACGTAACTGCAGATCATCTGTTCATCATTGTATAAAGCCCGCCCTGGCAATTTGATTGGCGTGACGATTTCTGAACCGATCATAATTACTCCTCAATAGATTGAGTCCAGACCTAACCAAAAAATGTTGTGGGCGGGGTTGTAATGTTGTAATCGCGATTAATCGTGTCCGTAAATAAAAGTTTGTGTTTACAAATATGTGTGTATACTGTGCATTTATTTTCTATATATAAATACACACATATGCATGTACATACACTCACCTAAAGGATTATTAGGAACACCTGTTCCTATCTAATCAGCCAATTATCTAATGGCAGTTGCTTCAATGCATTTAGGGGTGTGGTCCTGGTCAAGACAATCTCCTGAACTCCAAACTGAATGTCAGAATGGGAAAGAAAGGTGATTTAAGCAATTTTGAGCGTGGCATGGTTGTTGGTGCCAGACGGGCCGGTCTGAGTATTTCACAATCTGCTCTGTTACTGGGATTTTCACACACAACCATTTCTAGGGTTTACAAAGAATGGTGTGAAAGGGGAAAAACATCCAGTATGCGGCAGTCCTGTGGGCGAAAAATGCCTTGTTGATGCTAGAGGTCAGAGGAGAATGGGCCGACTGATTCAAGCTGATAGAAGAGCAACTTTGACTGAAATAACCACTCGTTACAACCGAAGTATGCAGCAAAGCATCTGTGAAGCCACACCACGCACAACCTTGAGGCGGATGGACTACAACAGCAGAAGAACCTAACGGGTACCACTCATCTCCACTACAAATAGGAAAAAGGGGCTACAATTTGCAAGAGCTCACCAAAATTCTGTTGAGACATTCAGATGTTCAGAATTTGTCGTAAACAGAATGAGAACATAAATCCATCATGCCTTGTTACCACTGTGCAGGCTGGTGGTGGTGGTGTAATGGTGTGGGGGATGTTTTCTTGGCACACTTTAGGCCCCTTAGTGCCAATTGGGCATCATTTAAATGTTTCTGACCATGTCCGTCCCTTTATGGCCACCACGTGCCCATCCTCTGATGGCTACTTCCAGCAGGATAATGCACCATGTCACAAAGCTTGAATCATTTCAAATTGGTTTCTTGAACATAACAATGAGTTCACTGTACTAAAATGGTCCCACAGTCACCAGATCTCAACCCAATAGAGCATCTTTGGGATGTGGTGGAACGGGAGCTTCGTGCCCTGGATGTGCATCCCACAAATCTCCATCAACTGCAAGATGCTATCCTATCAATATTGGTCAACATTTGTAAAGAATGCTTTCAGCACCTTGTTGAATCAATGCCACATAGGATTAAGGCAGTTCTGAAGGTGAAAGGGGGTCAAACGCAGTATTAGTATGCTGTTCCTAATAATGCTTTAGTGTATATTTTTAAGAAAAATGTGTTATATATAAAATATTTGGTATATTATGTATAAATATAAATACAATATATATGAAAATATTTCTTAAATACATAAATGCAAATGTGTGTATTTATACATAAAAATTAATTACACACGCATATATTATGTAAACACAAACTTTTATTTAGTATGCGATTAATCGTTGCGCAGCACTAAATTATTTTTTTTTTAATCTAAGGTTTCAGTAAACTGTTGCATTTCAAAACCTCAGACTTCTCACACTATCCATGATGATGAGTAACTCTGACAGTGGTGGGTACCTTCAGCACTTCCATGGGCACCTGTGTGGCACTGGGCGGGCCGGGGGGTGCGCTGACGTTGATGGCGGGGCTCTGGGTGGCGTACGCTGAGCTCTGCCGTCTCTGCCGCTCTCGTCGCTCCTGCTCTTGGAGCTGCTCGCGCATCAGCTGCTGGCGGAGCAGGATCCGCGAGGTCACGGCCGACGAGCCCAGCGGGGGCTTACAGGAGCCATGCTGATGCTCAGAGGGATTACTGCAGGCACACACACACAGATAGACAGACAGTTGAGGAGTGGGGCTCTGTAGAGGGAGCGTGTTTGCTACACTAGGTGCTGGATAATTGAATTATTTTGAGATCCTGGATGTTAATTAGGAAGCATAATTATTTGAACCACGGGGATCGAGTTGGATTGAAAATATGGAAACTGACTGGAAAGCTAAGCTTCACTACTAAACAGTTGTGAATTTGAACAAGCCCCCAAGTATTAAACTTAGCCCACAAATGTTCTGCTGACATGATATACACAAGTTTTGGGATTGAGATTGGAACCTTTTTTTTTTTTTTACCCATAGTAGACAAAAAAATCTGTGGAAAAAATGCATTACACTCACACAAAAATGCCAGTAAGAAACCTAGCAAACCTCCACAACACCCGATACGACACACTAAAACTATTATACTTTAAACGAATAATCTGTACTTAAGTGTGAATATAATGTTTTTAGACACTTAAAGCTGCTGTCCGTAACTTTAAGTTAAAAATAATCCAAAATAATTATAAAAAAAAACAATAAAAAAAACATATTCTGCCAGTGGTCAAAACTATCTGCTTGTCATAGCTAGACTCAAAACGGTTATGTAATAATGGTAATAATGATTTTAATTCAAAAAAAAAAAAAAAATATTTATTTATACAGTAATGTAACGTTAAGTCAACGGCGTTCATAAACACGCTGAAAAGCGATTATGCACGCCAAAAATGGAAATACGAATTGGCATGTCATACATACCCCATTTCATTAGATCAGTCTGGGCAGAAGAAAGAGCAGCATGAAACTAGCAAAGGATATCGGACAGTCAACATAAACAGTTTAGCATCATCATCCAAACATAGTTGCAGAATAACAAAAGTGACCAATCAGCATCAATTATAATCCTTTATAAAATTTAAGCATTTAACTACCTCTAATATAACACTAAAGTCTAACAGTGTCCTTGTTAATATGAGTAGTTGATGTTTGTGGCATAATCACAGAACTGGGCCGGACCTTCTTGACGCTGATTCAATGCAACAACTTGCAACAACGACTCAAGCAAATCTCTCTCTCTCTCCGTCTCTCTCCCAGGAAAAACTACATCTGAAGGTGAAAATGCATGTAATGCAACAAAACCAGGCACTACTTCCTCTACATCAGCTGATGTTTTCAGTTCTGCGGCTGTTTAGGTTTTCTTTTCTCCCACAGCTTTCCTCCCACTATTTCGACATCAGTTTTTTCTACAGTGCCCCACAGATCCCAGTCCAGCTGAGGAACTTACACAACGTTCCCTCGCGCACTTTCAGTTCTCTTCATGAATTCAGTAGAGGAACTGTTGGCTCCAAACGCGGCACGTTTTTCCGCCCAGAAACCCAGACGACGTGCTGTCAAGATGAGGCCTTCTCCTCGCCGCTGATCCTTTTGATGCGCCTCTGCCAAGCGGCCAGCCAATCCAGCTGTGCAGTAATCGCTCTAATTAGCCTGTCCGGCCCTGTCAAATGCTAGTCTGCAGTACTTGCCTTGCATTGTGGTTTAAACATGTTTAATCTCATTGTCTACAACTTTACATTTCTGTTTCTGACAAGACATTATTAAGGGCCGTTGTTCATGAAAGCTGCACTGCAAGTAGCATAAACGATTTTATTTGAATCAAACTAAAAGAATTTGTTTTCTTATTTCTTTTTTAAGAATAAACTTGAGAGAGAGAAAAAAAACATTTGCGAAAAAACACAAAAGCATTGGCTTTTCTCATGTTCTCATATTTTTTCCATCACCATGTCCCCTTAAAGGCTCCGTACTATTGCAATCTTTCACTGTAAAATATATATATATTAAAAATATAATAATATTAATCATTTTCATTTTCAATTTTTAAATAATCTTAATTTCTTCTTTCAACTACCAAACTTTTATTTGGATGGAAAACTGATGGTTTTTTTTGTGTCAGAATAGACGTCTTATAGGTCATCTAATTTGACTTTTTCCAGTGCTTTTGGTCAACTGGACATTTTCTAAAAAGTAATATTTTCACTGTTTTTTTGACTGATCAACACCACATTAAACAAAAGCTCAACCAATTTACTTTAGTCCCTCACAGCTTTGATTGAATAATCAGTCACCCTGACAAAACTACAAAACATCTTTATACAATCAAACTTATGAAACAGTTACAAAAATTAGAGAAGACAAATAAGAAGAAAGGAGAGAAAGAAGAAATGCAGGGACATTGATTCTGGGTCAAGAGTGGCTAACACGCATGTTTTTGATGCATCATAGTTCCTCAGTTTAAAAACTGATCATGGTTTGTCTGGCACGACTGAATCATGACTACTGAATCAAAGGCAATGGACTGACTCACACAGGACTAAACTGCTGTGGATCACTTTTAACACACTTTACTGATGGGCCTTTAAAATTTGGTATTCTGTGTCTGCTTCTCTAATGATCATGCAAGTGCTAATTTGCTTTGCTAAAGCCAACTTCATAAAACACATCAACCAATCAATGATCATGTTACTAAAGTTCAAAATTACGAAACCTAATTATCCAATCTCTTTAACAAATCCTTTACATGATAGTAGTAATTGAGACCAATAACATGGACATGATTCCCTCTAGCTTTGTATACATAAATAGTCAGTGTAGCAGGTGCATTGTTAAACAATAAATATTAAACTTATTGAATAAACTTATTTTGGGATTTGAATCCACCAATTTATAATTGCAATCAAAATATTAAAATGATATCAAGTGCCTTTTATTGCAAAGAATTTTAATACCCACTGTATTATTACTTTTTAAATAATCATATAAACAGTTGAGTCAGCAGTCACGAGTAACAGCAGGAATAGGCGGTTAAACTGCGCACTGCGCGTGCGCGAGCGATCGGTTGTTTGTGTTTGTAGCTCCGGAGAATTTCTTCACAAATCCTTGATTTTCTTCTTTACCACTTATTTATAAACAAGCACTTTCTATTTTTATATTATGTGAACTTATCCTCGATAGTATTCCTTATAAAAAAACAATTGGATTGCTTTGACATCACTACTTATATCCAACCTCCCTAAATCCTGGCTACTAGCCTTTAGCCCGCTAGCATTCCACGCGTGCCCTCTCGCCTATTGATCGTCTCATTTTACACCCGTTTCACTGAATCCTGGTTATTTCCGACATTTCAATCCTAAATTAGTAGTGATAGTTGTAGTATCACTACTAATTTACTGATCATCCGTTATAATGGCGAACATATCAGATGCGTGTCTAACATTACCTTTGAGTGCAGATGAAGACACATTCGAGCTCTTCACGGTGAAGCAGGAGCTGGAATATGTCGAGAAACAGATCCGCGGTCTGCTGGTGAAGCAAGCCGAGCTGTTGGATCGGCGCTCAACGCTTGAAGCATCACGCGCCGACGCTAACAAATCAAATCACTCTTTGACTCCGAGTTCATCTACGCCGTACGTTACTCTGCCGAGGAAGATGCGATCATCTAAGGCTTCATTCACTCCGGCACCGAAACAACATGGACCATGGATCACACAGCGGAAGACTCGAGCCAGAGCTGCCTCTCCGCCCCTCCCGGTCTTCGAGATCTCCACCCGGAACCGCTTCTCCCCTCTTCGCGAGCCGGAACGCGATGACGCCGTGATCATCGGCACATCCATAGTCCGCCATGTCCGCGCTAATTCGGATAAAGGTAAAGTGCGCACTCACTGCTTTCCTGGTGCTCGTGTTCTTGATGTTGCTGCACAGGTTCCCGAGATCCTGAACGGGGACGAGCGCGTCGGAGCTGTTGTGCTGCACGCGGGAGCGAACGACATCAGGCTGCGGCAGACGGAGGTTCTGAAGAAGGACTACAGGAGCCTGATCGAGACGGTACGCAGCACAGCGCCTAAAGCAGTGATCATCGTGTCTGGACCGCTTCCCACGTACAGACAAGGACAGGAAAGGTTCAGTAGACTTTTTGCATTAAATGAATGGTTAATGTCATTGTGTAATGAACAGGGGCTGCACTTTGTAAATAACTGGCATCTGTTTTGGGAAAGACCGAGGCTGTACAGCACAGATGGTCTCCATCCCAGCCGAATCGGAGCGGCTGTGCTGTCGGACAACATTTCCAAGACATTACGCACCAGATGACTAATGAGTCAAAGTCCAAATTACAGCCTTTGCGGTCCAAACTTAACTAATAAGCATAGTGTGGAACATTATATAGAAACTGTGTCTATTCCTCGTTTAGTGAAGCCAAACAATAAATCTAGTGTAGGATCTAGCAAAAATCTTATTGTAATTAAACCAGAAAATCTAAATATCAGTCAACAAAAACAATTTCTAAAGCTAGGTCTCCTAAACATTAGATCGCTCACACCTAAGGCGGTTATCGTAAATGAAATGGTCACAGACAATAACTTCGATGTTCTGTGCCTTACTGAAACCTGGCTTAAACCAAATGAGTATTTCGGTCTAAACGAATCTACTCCGCCAGGATACTGTTATAAACATGAGCCTCGTCTGATCGGTCGTGGCGGCGGTGTTGCAACAATCTATAAAGATATTTTTAATATTACTCAGAAAACAGGTCACAGGTTTAATTCATTTGAAGTACTTGTGCTAAATGTTACGCTCTTAGATGTAAGAAGGAAATCTATATTATCTCTAGCCCTGGCTACTGTATATAGACCTCCAGGGCCATATGCTGAATTCCTAAAAGAGTTCGCAGACTTTCTCTCGGATCTATTGGTAAATGTCGATAAAGCAATAATTGCTGGAGATTTTAACATACACGTAGATAATACAAATGATGCTTTAGGGGCTGCGTTTACAGATTTATTAAACTCCTTTGGGGTCAAACAAAACGTCAGTGGTCCCACTCATCGTCTAAATCATACACTAGATTTAATTATATCATATGGAACCGATCCAACTGATATAGATATTATACCGCAAAGCGATGATGTCACTGATCATTACATGGTGACTTGCATAATACGTACTGCT